CCGGGGAAGGAGCTTCCAAAGACCCCCTTGCCATACCGTGAGGCCATAAAAGGGAGGAGAAAACCAGGCGATGTTTCTTGAATGAAGCCTGCCCCCGTGTTCTAATGGGCCAGGGTTAATTCACTTTTAATCAGCCTTTTATCGCTAGTTTTTGGCCTGAGGTACCCAGTTTTAGCCTTCTGTAATGATCTCCCGCCGGGGCAGAGGCACCTTCAGCCTGGATATTGCCTGGTACCGAGAGAGGCAGATGCTCCTCGGCTGTTTGCCACCACCCTGGTTCTGTCCTGCCTCTATCAGCCTTTGCTGGATCTGACAGTCACCCCAAAAGCACAAATTCTGCTGCTGGAGGGTAGAGATACTGGCGCTGTGTCATTCAATTCCTTAGGGACTACACTAAACTAGAGATGAAGAAATATCTTCAGGGTCACAGTGGGAAGTCTGTGGTAAACTAGGGGCCAAATTAAGCTCTGCTGACTCTCAAACTGCTTGTTTGGCCACACGATCATCCTTTCCTCTTCATGTACCAGCCCCACACTTTGAAGTGGTGACTGTGGCTGTGGGCAGTTTATCCGAAGTGAGGGGTTAGTGTAGGCTCTGCTTTGTACATCTTGTGAGTTGTGAAGTGTCTTATCTCGGAAGCCTGTTGATTTGAGGGTAAAGACATTTCCTCTCAGTGTATGAGAAAGTTTCCTGCTGCAGTTTCCTTTTGTTTTTCTGGAAGTGCTTGGGGCTGCAGGTTCAGGCCCATGACTCAGTAGGCAGCACTGGTGATTCACTGGGGCCACCGACCCCCAGGAAGCTGTTGGCCTGGGGGAAGATCCTAGCACAGAGGGGATATAAATCACCCTGGAACACTGCGTTCTGATCAGGAGAAAGGGTCCTTTGGAGGCCTCTGCTACCAACTTTACAAATAATAGGCTGTAAAACCACCAGGAAAAATCCTCCTTGAGGTTTCCCCTTATATTCCTGCTCTCCCTAGGCATGGAGAGCTGGGAGGAGGTGTTGGCTACTTAAGCACTAAGGAGGTCTCGTGGCAGTAAAATATGACGAGGTCATGGTCATCAAGACCACCAGGTCATCAGGATGCTGAGGATCTGGTCCCAGAGAGAGCAGCTGGAACTGAGTCATTGCATGCCAGGCCCTGTTTCCTCGTTGCTTTCTGGCTTGCAGGGTCACATCTTTCATCTGTGTAGGTGCAGTTTCACTGTGGGTGAGCTCAGCCCCAGCACAGTGAGAGTGGCTGTGTGTCAGGGGAAAAAAAAAAAAGATAAAATAACGGATCCTCCCTTGGTGCTGATAACGATTCTATTACTTATTGATTAAAAGGGAAGTGCAGCTCAGCTCTCCATCATGAGCAACCGGAGTATTTGCAGAAATGACCTCAGGGAAGGCAGGTTGAGTGGGGAGGGGGAAGAGAGGAGATTGCTGGAGGATGGGATGAGCAGATGACTCACTGTAAGAATGGCCTGCAAATATCCTGATCCCCAAGGCTTGTAATTAACCATTCACCAGCTGCATGTTAGCTGCCCCAAGAGACAGAGACATGCATGTCTGCTGGAACACACATGCAAGTTGGGCTTGGGCAGATTTCTGTGTTCATTCAAGTGTAAAAACAGTGACATAGGGTGTAAATTGGGATCATGGCTATTTATATAAACTGGACACGCTTTTCCTATGTGATGGCTGTGACTGGGGGCTTGGGGGAAAGATAAGGTCAGCTATGCAAAACAAGAGGACTTAAAAGTTCACCCCATGAAGGGCAGTTGGAGATCAGAGAATTCTGTAGAGCTTCTTGTGTTTGTTTTTTCACACTGTGAGTTGCTAAGGATATCATGTTTTCAACCCAGTTATTGAGGATATCATTTTATCAAACACCTCCCACACCACCCTGGTCTCCACGGTCACTTGACTGCTTGGACCACTGCCTCATGCTGTGAGCTCTGGGATGAGCTGGCAGAATGTGGCTGGGGATAGGAGGGAAGGTGCAGGTGCTGAGTGCCCCTTTGCTGTAAAGTCACTCTCCTGCCCTCTGCCATGGAAAACAGACTTTGATCACATTCAGGGAGCTTTGGATCGTGCTGGCCACTTGCAACACGAGGACCCCACGGCAGGAATGAGTGGGCGACAGCAGCACGTCATGAATTTGAGCACACAACTGCGCAAATATTGCACAGAGATGAGACACCAGCGCTGTGACAGGGGCTGAGCCATCAGAGGTGGCTGTGCCGGGCAGCCCCGGCTCTAGGGCTGCTCTGATCCTCCGCTCTTCCCTCGTTTCAAAACCCTCCCTTGCACCCGGGGCACCCGCACACAGTTTATCAGGGTGAAACAGTCGCAGGTGAATGAATCACAACGGGAGGCTTTGCCTTCCAACCGTGTTTACTTGAGGGCCGCAGTGCAGGATTATTGAATGTGGCTGCTCAGGAGCCATTCATCTCGGCTCTGAGAAAGCACAGGTGGCAGACATGTGGCACACTGCTGACGTTTCCGGCTGCTTCTGCCGCCTGACTTACTCAGGTACTTTTTGGAGATGGTGTTCTTCCATGCAGAATATTCCCAGCCTGGAAACAATTTAGCTGCCGACAAACTTTGAGTAACAATGTAATAATAGGATTAATTCCTTCTCATTAGCAGCACACTGAATGAAATGAACGCAGTACTTAACCGTGCAGAATAGCTCATGTGGGGCTATTCAGTTGTCAAATGCTGTCACAGGATTTCATTAAGTTTTATAGCTGTTATTTAACAGATTGGTTTCAGTGGGACCATCTTCATTACTTCACTGTCTTCATGCATTGTGGTGATTAATGAGACACATGCAAGCATCCCCCTCTTGTGTTTATGTCCATTTAAAAATGCAAATAAAATATCCTGTGTGTTGTTGTAGTGAATATATTAATGACAGGTTTAGAAAAGATGATTCTGAGTACAGAAATCTCTGCCTCAAATGCTGGAATTTGTGCTCATGGATAAAACCTGGGGGAAGGGAGTTTAGTCCCCACTGTACTGGAGTTAATGGTTGCTAGACTCAACACAATTACATTTGCTAACAGCTTTAGTCTGGATTCACTGGGTTTTGGCAAGTTAATAATTGTCAGTGGTATCAGAGGTTTTTCCTTGGGTGCCCAAAATCTTTTAAGCAAACCCATTTTCGCAGAGGAGCACTATCCTTCATTGACACTCCCCTGGAGCTCACTGCTGGGCACTGCTGTCCCACTGCATTGCTGGAGCTTTGTCCTTCACTTGAATTAAACTAGTCCTTGGGAGGGCAAATATTCATATTTTCTTCTTTTTGTTGTTTCCCTAGGGGGATATGAAACCTTTAACTCTCAATATCCTGAGTGCTGCGTGAATGGAAAACTCATTTCCCCAGAGAGGACGGAAGCAGAGAGGAACCTTGCCAGCCACTGTGAGAAGCAGAGTGCCAACCACAAACCTGCTTATGACCAGGTGTGTGTCATGGCTGTGGTGGGTGACCTTCCCCTTGGGACTTCTCCCTCTGCTGCCACCAGGCTCTCCTGGAGGGTGGCAGGGTGTCAGTGGGCCTGGTACTGCCATGGGCTGTGAATAAGTTGTCACAGTCCAGGCTGAGCTGAATAAATTTCCCTTGTGTGCTGCTGGTCAGCATCACCTCCACCTGGCTTCAAAATTAGGCAGAAGGAGGCAAAACACTCATCTAGCCCCTAAGACTATTTATGAACTCTCTTATCACACACCCAGACAGAGTGAGCTGGAGCAGCTCACACCTCCAGAGGAGACTGAGAATGGGCAGGGGAGAAGCTGCCGGGAGTGTCACTTTTCCAGCAGACAAAGGAGCACGTTCTGCCCATGACTCCTCTGAGATCTCAGGAGGAATTTGAGGCTGGCAAGGGGCCAGAGCCTCTGAGAAGTGAGACCCACCCCTGGGCTGGGGAAGTGGGGTTTCCAGAGGGGAAGTCCTGGTGTGCCCCCCAGCCCGGGGGCGATGTGTGCTCCGAGATGTCACCCTGCGGTCAGGGCGCTTCCGCCGGGCCGAGCAGTTCCTGCTGCTCAGGGGAGTCCCCTGTGACGCCTCTCTGCTCCCCGGGGTGCCTCCCACACCAGGTGCCCTCCTGCCACCGGGGCTGCCTGCCGGCTGGCCCTGATGCATGGGAACCACCATGTGGGCGGGTCAGGGGCAGTGGAAAGGCAGCTTCTTGCAGCTGGGGGGCGGCAGCAGCTCCTGTGCATCATGGAAAGTTACCTGCCAGCTCAGAAAGCTGTGTCACATGGTGGCTGTTCTTTGCCATGTCGTCATGCAGCCCTTGCTTGTGCTGAGGAAGGAGGAACTGAGATGACGTCTCAGAGCGGGTGCTGTGCTCCAGAGAGGTGTGGGGTGAAGGGGGATGGGGAGCCCCTGCCCATTTTTTTTGCTTTTTTTTTTGTTTCACCTATGGAGATGTGACCAGAGGGGCAAAGCCCTGGCTGAGCCAAAGCAGCCTCTTCCTCTGTTCTGGTCTTCCTCCCTGCTGGATGTGGCTCCCTGCCTTGCCCCATTTCGGTAAAGCCTCAGTGGGAATGGGCACCACCTATGAAAGCACTTCGGGTGCACTGCAAGGGGCAGCACTTTAAAGATTAAAGCCACAAATATCCTACATGAGTAGGTTGGGTCTGACTTTGTACCTTGCAGATGTGGACAAGAAAATGAAAACATTTTTCCTGCATGGGCTTGGCCGTGGGCCTGATTCATTGGCCCCTGCTGTGGGAGCTACATCCAGCAGGGAGGAAGAGGAGGAGAGAGGGAGGGAGCAGGCACTAACATGGGCTCCCTTGGTCACTCTTGACTCTCAGGACTTTTGAAAAAAGAACTACATGTTTCTGCTCCTTCTCTTCCAGGGTGGTCCAGTTGAAATCCTGCCTTTTCTGTACCTTGGTAGTGCCTATCATGCTTCCAAGTGCGAGTTTCTCGCTAACCTGCATATCACAGCCCTGCTAAATGTCTCCAGGAAAAGCTCAGAGTCCTTCAAAGACCAGTATTGCTACAAGTGGATCCCAGTGGAGGACAGTCACACAGCAGACATCAGCTCTCACTTCCAGGAAGCCATAGACTTCATTGGTAGGTACAAATGAACAAATTTTCAGATCTTCATGTATTTTAAACTCATTTAAAATGCAAAATCAATTAAAATACCTTTAATTAATTTTAAAATAAAATACACATTGAAGTCGACTAAGTTTTGTGAAGGAGAAAGCCCCAGTTCCTTGGATTTGCATGCCAGAGTCAGTAACAACCAAGTGAAGCAGAGTCAGCTCATTGCCTTACTGTGCTGAGATATCCCAAATGTGTGGGGTCTTAGAAATCCATTATCCCCCTTATCACAGAGCTCTTTACATTCCTCCTTTTGATCATGCTGGTATCTCACCCTTTAATCAAATACCCCAATGTAAAAAAGAATGAGGAGGCCTTTAGAAAAGTTTGTGCTATTCCATTTCAAATCTTCCTGTGTTTGGCTGAGTGGGTGAGTGAAGGTGAGCTGTGCCAGGGAGCACAGGAGAGAGGATTCTCCCTGAGAAGCACAACACGGTTTTGTGGGGTGGAGAAGCCTTAGCCTGGATGGAGATCGTGTTGAAATTGGTACTGTTGCTCTCCAGGAACATTCAAAAGAGAAAGAGAATAAAACACTGTTACAGACTCATTGCTCAGCTGAGTTTGAGTCCTTCAACAGTGCAGGCAGAATTACAAAAACCTGACCTGAGGGTGCTCTCTAAGTCCTTCCTCTTCCCAGACATCTCACACATTTCAGGGAAATAATAATTTATTGCACCTTTCCATGCTATCCTCAACCCCTTCTGATAGATGTCACTTAGAAATTTCCCAGATTTTGAGGACAACTTTAATTTTCACTTTCTTTTAAAATTGGGTATGTGGTGTAGATGCTGGGGATGACTCAAATCCATATCTTCCTTATTTTGTGCAGTAGCTAAATATAACTGGTCGTGGTGGTAGTCCCCTGGCAGACAATTGAAGGCAGGCAAATGATAACTTCCTCAGCTCTGTGTGTTTCCCTGAGCACTACACTCACAGTTATCCATAAATTGGAGACTGAACATGTTGCTCAAGGCAAAAGAGCAAAGGCAAGGCTATTTTTTGAACAGTGTTTTTGTGTGGAAAGGGCTTATTTTAAGCACATTCTCTTTAATAACAATCATTGTGTTGTGTGAGTAACCACAGTGGCTCCTGTTGTGTCAAATGGGTGCTTTGCATAAGCCTTTTATATCCTGACTTAAGTCCAAGCATCCTTTAACCAGGCTATAATTAGCAGCTGCCTACCAGCGCTGTGTGCTTTGTGGTGAGGCCCCAGGGACTGAGCTCAGCCTCTCCACCCAAGGGTACCTCCTGGTACTGCTGCTTGCTGCCAACTGGCCAAGCAGGGAATTAGGATTTTGAAGAAAAATCCTATTTTTCTGGCAAAGATGATGACAGCCCCTGCAGTTTTTGAGTGACCAGGTAGTGGGAGAGCTGGCCAGGCTTGGATTTACACAACATTTTGAGCTGCAGGCAGAGAAATGCAGCTGCAGCATTGCCTGCATCACAATGTTCTTGAATGTCAGTTCCAAAAGAGAAGTAGGCACAAGGGAGGAGACAGGGATGGACTTTCCTTAAAAATGCAAAAAGAACCAAATCAAGATCCACTGATTCTGAAACCATGCTCAGCTCTGTCACAAGCTGAGTTTTGTCCTCCTTGTCTTTTAATCTCCATGTCACCCTAGTACTCAAGAGAAGAGCAGGCCTCTCTTTGCTGCAGCCTGGCTGTGTCCCCCCAGCCCTGGCAGTGTGGCAGTGCCCTCCCCATGCCCACAGCAGGTGATGTGTGCCAAGGCTTTTCCAGCCCTGGCAGTGTGGCAGTGCCCTCCCAATGCCCACTGATGTGTGCCAAGGCTTTTCCAGCCCTGGCAGTGCCCTTCCCATGCCCACTGACGTGTGCCATGGCTTTTCCAGCCCTGGCAGC